TGTGTAGTTACAGAGATTTGAAAGATTCTAATGTAACAATTATGTGCCACACTTTTCTCTGTTTTTAATATACTGTATATTAAATAAGTTTAAACAAGTGGCGACCTGGTGGTCGTTTTTTTACACAGATGTGTGTCAGCTCCTGTTGTTTTCAGCTGAAAGACTTCCTCGAGTCCTTTAAGATACCATCTTGTTTCCTGAAGATAATTGGAACAAGACCCAGAGGAGGAGTGCCGCTCACACAATTCATTGATTCTCACAATGTGATGAGAAATTCAGTAGGTTGTTACTGTAGACCGCACTGGACTTCTTTAGTACATTTCAACATCTATTTCACCCAGTCTGAGGTGCAAAACCTTAGTGCAGTGCGTCTCCTGCAAAACTATTGCTGACTTCATTTTGTCAAACGTAATGACAACAGAACTGCCTTTGCCAAATCTGACCAACAAATGATCACGCAAGGCCTACTTTTGGCACCACAGTATCCATATGTATGCCTTGGGCGTAAATTATCACCAAATACATTCAAAATACTACTATGTATATCACCAGCAGGAGTTATCAGTGATGATGATGAAAAAAGCTAATCTGATTTTGCTAGTTTTTAAATCGTTAAATTGTCGGATATTTGTGGTTTGATTTCAGTAACAAAAGATTTGGTCGGGAAACTCCGTAATACTGCCTGAAAACACAACAACACTTCATAGAAGAAAAATAAATCTGAATCTGAATAAGACCAAAAGAATGTCCCTACATCACACTCCAAAAGGAAAATATCTGATATTTGTTAATTTGTGTTTTTTTCTCGCATGCCACAACTACATTTTGTTCAAAACACTGGAACTGTCAGGCCTCATCTGAAACACAGATTTTCCAAATGCCACATTAAAAAAAGGTTTCATCCTGTGGAGAGTGTACCAGTGTCACATTCTCTTTGTAGAAGAACAAAGGGCCTGATAAATAGGGACACACTGTTCTCATGACCTGAGGGATGGCACAGCCAATAAACGAAGAGTGGTTTTTGTTAGTTACAGAATCTTGTATCCTGCTCCCACCGTGGACATAAACATGTGGTCACGTTGACCAAGTAAGTGATTCATGGTTGACGATGATATATCAAATTAGGTTAGCTCTGCTCCCAACCAGGGCGATCACCGCTGTGCATGATGATGACACACTTCTATAGACTCCAGCATTGAGATGATGAGGTGTAATTCGTGGTGGTCCAGATCATGATTGGAGCCAGTGCCAGGCTCTCCTCTGGTCTTCTCCCCTGGACAGGAACCACGCAAAGCTGGGACCACACGGCCTTTATTTATCACGGGTCCACCATGCAGATGTAATCCCTCATACATTGCCTGGTGGAAAGCCTCATTCCAGAGCTGACAAAAACCTCCCCCACACTGTTAATGCTGCTCTTACTCCCTCTCTTCTTGACACCAACCGTCCTATCTATTTCTACATCATGGGTCTGGAGCCCAAGTCTCCCCAGTGTGATTTAACCTGAGATTGGGAAAGTGTCTAAACATGAGCGTTATCTCCCCTGAACAGACGTTTGGTTTCACGACCAACAAGTGGTGTATTTCACATTTTTAGCTTATATACAGTATATATATTTATATATATATATGTATGTGTGTGTGTGTGTGTGTTTTCTTTACGGATTATCCCACTCTGACCTCATCCAGTCTTACAGAGGCCCACTAAAAATGAGAGTGAGAGAGAGAGCATGGAAATCCATCAAGATCGCTCAGGTTCTCACAACATCAATATACGTGAATGTTTTGCGAGATTAACAGAGGTCAGTACATTTTAACCTAGCAAACTTTAACTGAGATCACTTTACAAACGTTGACTTTTGTCCCAATGGCATCACCACCAAAATATTAAAAACATCTCGCCCAGGTCATACCCCAAATCCACCTCCAGAAATTTGATCAAATCCAATCTGGACTTATTTGTGTTGCTATAGAGAAAGCATATATGATTTTTAGGATAAAAAAAACAAACTCTACTTTTAGAATAGATCCTATTATTCCGAGCCAGCTTATACTGGCATGTACATATTCTAGTGGAGCCAAGCTGTAAAAATAAAATCTATTCAAAGTGTAGAATCTAACTGAAAGTTTAATTGCACAAAAAACACGACTAAATTGTCAAAATAAAGTAGTCGTAGAATTCCAATTACACATATGGTAATTTTAATTGTAGCATTTAAAGTGTATCTAAATAAATAGACAGATTTATCTGGGTCATTTTCACGACCGTCTGCTCGATACATGTCGTGGACTGTTTCTCTACAGTGATGTCTGTCTTTTAGCAGCTACAGTGTGTGATAGATGATGACCAGAAGTGTGTTTTGTGTTTAGCCAAAGGATCCCACCCTTGATTTTCTCTTTTTCTAATCAGTGAGAAGAGAAGAGCGAAGCTCGCTTAGAAGCTTTAGGAGGGAATTCCGTCACTGCCAACAGATTAGGGCCTGGTTCACAAAATCTTCTTTAAGCAATTGTCTAAAGGAATAAAAACCCTTTAGCCTGCAGCAAGGAAAACTAGTACCAGAATTGAGATGGGCATCAGTCACATGTTTCAGTCATTTACCCTGTTAAAGGTTGTTGTTGGGGAAGCTGGAGTTAATTCCAGTTGACTTGGATGAAAGACAGGGTTCATCCAGTTCACAAGGCTGCACTTAAGGAAAAACATCCATTCACACCCAAACTCCCATCTACTGTATATTCACTCTGCGTTACTTTGGGCTCATGAGGAGAACTTCAGGGTGCAGTGGTCTGGCTAAGACTGTACGGGGTTTTACTGCCTCAGTGTTCACCACTAATCAACAAAGATCATGTGAAATGACGCGCAACCTTCTGGTCCGGTAGTCTTTTATCGGTCAGACACTTGTCTTTTTCAACAATAACATTCAATCCTTAACATAAATATGTTATTACATAGTAGTGTCACCAATAACCTCATAAATGAACCACAAAAGTGTTTGTAAACTGACCAATCACGCGACTTCACAGTAGAGTTACTGTACGTTTGCCTTGGTGTTGTTGTGTCATCTCTTCTAGTTGAAGCTCCCTTCACACTGAGATTTAACATGTCTTTATAGCTTAAAGTTGTGTTACCAATGACATATTTTGTGTGGTTGTATTATATTATTTATAAACCGTGAGTTTTTTTTTGTCCAGTCATCATTTTAGTGTCTATTTCCTGGGTGAAGTTCAGGAAACGATCTGTGAAATGGCTGTTAAAACTAAAAGCCCGTTCAACGGAGAGTTGGGGCAAGGCATCTGGAAATGCTTGGATAAGGTTAGGACAATATTCTGATTACAGGTAATACGTAACAGAAAGGTTTATTTAATTTGCAGATCTGTAATTGGACGTGAAACCCAGTCTCTTCCATGAAAGCCAGATGTGCTATACCTCCACGCCTCACTTTCCACGTAGCCTTAAAAAAGTCAGCCCTGCACTTCCTGTATTGGTACACCGACTCTTGGCAGGAGGACAAACTCCCGAGGTCCGAATTTTTCTAAGGCTACGGAGCCAATCTGGATTGAGGAAGACACAGGGAGACGGCATGTTGACTTTTGTTTATCCCAAAGGTTGTTTAGAATATCTGGAGGCAATACAGGTTTTGGCATTAGCATTAGCAAAACCTCATTTAATTCATGTGTTGCAGAAAAACCATTAGCTTTGATCTTATATAATGTTTCCAGGATAGGATTGTGTTAATGAGGCGAAGGAAACCTGAGCTGCTTGTTGTTTATTGGTGGTTGGTCAAAAACTAGATGTCAATAACTGGGAGTTTGTGGTCATCAAATAACCAGTTAATACCACTGTGTGTTTGTAGATGACACTGAAAACAAAAACTGATCCCACCTGCACTGTCATCCGTTTATTTTATATAAAAACACAGACTATTACATACTATTTAAATTCCTTCAAAGCACTATATGTTAAAGTATTGGAATACAGTACAGAATAAATAAATAAATAAATACAGGAACCAAGACAGCATTAGTCCAATGAGGTCTCACCTCTGTGAGGCCTGTCTGTCTGCTTCCCTCCTGTGGAGTTAATCAGTGTCATCACCCTCACCTGTCTGTCATCAGTCTCACTGGTGTCACCTGGTGCCCTGGGTATATACACCTCTCTCCCTCACTCACTCCTCACTGGTTCATTGTTTGTGGTTCATGCCTTGTTTTCCTGAAATTCTGTTTGTTTCTGCCTGGTTTTTATGAATCGTACCAACCTCCTTGTTTTTGGGACGGGCCGGTGGTCACCACAGGCTTCAAACCCCCAACTTTATGTTGTGAAAACAGAAGGTGTGTTTTTGTTAAAATCTCTTCTGCTTCTGCGATCCCTGAGTTTCCACAGTGTCTTGTGGTATCAGCTGTACTCCATGACATCATAACCTGGTTTCCATCCTGTTTATCAGGTGTGAAAATAGTTGAACAGCTGAAAGAAGCTATTCAATCAACAGCTGTTACTCAACCAATTATTCAATTCAGCCTTTTTTGGGACTGACTCTTTATGATTCAGTTTTAACCATTAAAACTGAATCATATTATTTCAAAAATATCTTGAATGATTTGTTCACAGTTTCCTTGCTGACTCACGTTGTTGTTCATGCTTTTCTTCCGTGTTGTGAGTGAGGCATGGTCTGTAAAGAAAAGGAAGGAGAAGCAACGAAGAGTGACAAAAGAAAGGCGTTTATATCATAGCTACTTGTGTTGCGTTGTTTTTTTCTTTTTTTACGTGGGCACAACACCTTCAAACACTGACATTTGACTAATTTAACCCTTGTGTTGTCTGTTGGGTCTAGATGACCTGGTGGATGATAATTTAACTTTTGTGTGTGTGTGCCTTCCAGATGTAAACCTGCTACAATGACACTGGGTGTGTACGAAATGCGAAGGACCGTTGGAGGGTTAAACCTGTCGTCGTTGTAACATTTTTTGTACACATCTGTAGCTTTAGCATCAGAAAAACACTGAAAGTTCCATGAAAACTTAAATAATTTATTTACCACTGGAGCACCACAACGATACTGTGTTACAATACAGCACAGTGGATCACAATATCATTATTGTCATCATCACCATCATCATAATAATAAAAAAAAAAACAACAACAACAAATACACAAAATAACAGCTCTATCGTGAAAGAGTCGGTGCCTAGCTCTTGTTTCCTGCTATCCAGAAAGTCCACTGGCACTAAATGCCCACAGGGCCAAGGGTCAGGGTCAAGGTCAGGGACGGGTCGCCTACATCAACATTTAAAAAAAGGAAGAGGAAGAGGAAGCAGCAGGGGCCAAACTAACTAAGATATTTTAAAAGACAAAATGAAAATCAGCATCAGTGCAATGTTTTTTTTTTAAATTAAAGAACGAAAACTGTGACTCTGCGGGTCGACTTCTTCAGCTGCAGCAGGTCAAACCAAAGATCACTGCAGAAGTTGGCTGCTGAAAGTTGGATACACTGAGAACTATCTTTGGCTCCGTGAACATTTGGTGAAGCTCTTATCTCCACTTCATTAACACCTCCTGGAATCTTTCATCGCACTCACTTCCAACATTGTTTCTCCAAGCAAGGGTCCATCAGCACTTTCCAAAATACCACATCTCTCTCCTCTGAATCCACAGTCGTCAGTTAGTGTGACCAGGCTCTGCAGCTGTGCTTTATGACATAACAAAACTGTTTTTTCCCACCTTCCTTCCATGCTACTTATTATAGTAAATGAATACATATGGCATTCTCCGTCAGTTCTGTGAATCGTCAGTTATAGTAACTGTTCTAGATCTCATCAGTGTGAACTTGATGACCTGAATCCAACATTACAGGAACCTACAACCAAAGGCATGAACATAAGTATCTTAAATGGATGGAAAAATATACAGAGCAAAGACAAAACAAAGTGATGGAAACAGTGACGGGCAGATGCTGGGGCAGATGCTGGGGGCAGATGCTGGGGCAGATGCTGGGAGCTTGGGGAGAAGTTGTGGGGCAATGATATATTTTTTTCAGGACTTATTTCACATATAAACACTTATCATTTATACTTCCAGTGTTTGCCTTACTCTTGTGTCTCTTGTGTGACAAGTGTGTGAGGTGGTGCATGTTGCCAGGGCCCTTAAAATTCCAAAAGACATACTGTGCCTATGCAAAAGCTGTTTCTGTCACTGTCACATGTATGTATGTGTGGCTGTATGTATGTGTGTGTGTATGTATGCTGTCCTTAATATAAGCCTCTGATACCACCGCCCCTTCTTATGTTTTATAGTTTTTTGTTTCTTCAAGTTACGATTCTGCTCATGAAGTTCATCCCAAAGTCTGTTCTGAATTACTGCAGTGACCTCGATCTGTGACGACATTAATCCAAGAAATAAACAGGATCTTCCCGGGGTTCTTCAGTTGTTCTTGATGTGATACTTTCAGTGTGAATACTCTCCAAATGCAAGTTCATCATAAGCTGTCATTAACTGGACTAGCCTTGAATTACTGCTGGGCTAATGTTATACAATGTCTTATTTAAATTTTATTTACTGTTTGTTTGAGTTCCTCTTTTATCCTTTGACAAATCTGTGTTGTTTATGACCAGTGTTTGGTTGGCTCTGTTTTATTGGCAAATTTCTTTTATTTACTTATTTTTAATGTACTTTCAGGTACCTTTTTAGTGGGCAAACTAATTTGTAGCTAGTTTCAGATAAACAATAGGCAAACAATTTGAAATAATGTCCAATGTGACTCTATTGTCTGTGCTATATAAAAATATTTCTATCTATGTCTAACAGTAAATTCCCTATTAGGAGAAAGTTTTACCCTTTACCTTTTTTTCTGGCACAGATGAACTGCCTTCCCAGTGCAGTGGTATTGAAGTATTTGCTGACATTAAAATATATAGTATCCTGTTATGTGTATACTTGTGTTCTACACACCACTGCTGAGGTGTGCCTGTGGAAAAAACACTGCTGCGTATATTGTAATGAATGAAAAAGACATTTGTGTGTATGTGTATGTGTATGTGTGAACAGAGTGTGTGTGTGTTTGCGCTGGCTTGTGGGGGCTTCTAGCTGCACTTGCAGGACTTGACCTTCATGTTGGAGAGCTGCTCTATTTTAGGGGTTTTGCCGATGTAGTAGAGGATGGTGAGGGGCTCCAGGTCCTGGGAGACACAGCAGGGTGAGGCAGAGGCTTCAGGGTTTATGGAATTGTAGAGGCCTAACACCTGGAGCACACAAGTGAAAAACACACTTAGAGAGTAACTCACAAATCCCTTGAACACTGCATGTCCTGCTCTGTTCTTTATCTGTAACTGTGGCCCTTACTCCGTACTGTACCTTAGTATGCTGGGTGTCGGCACTCCACAGATAAGGACACGCCCCGGCACAGAAGTTGGCCTCATATCCCTTTGGTTCATAGATCCACCTCCAGCCCAAGTCCTTTTTAAAATCGATGTAGAGTGAGCGTAAGCAGCAGTTGTCCTGCACATTTCTACAGAGAGGAAACAAAACATTCATTGGACAGAGTTGACAGGTTCACAACAACAGACAGAAAACCACTTCAACTTTTGGTGTTGGTGGCCACACAGCTAGCTGTGTATCGTCTCGTGTCCACTTTTTTTATTAATCATTTTTCTCTCTTTGTGCCAGGAGATTTGGTGAGCCACGTCTTTTGTTTGATTTTTCTTCCATTTCTGGTTGTTTTGCATGAGGCCCATCTCTGAAACTGCCTTTTACAACTGCGATTTTTACTGCTGGCATTGTTTGAGAGTTAGAAAAGTGGTGAGAGCAACTTCATGCGACTCCTGGATTCATACTTGGAGCAGTAGGCAGCATCCAGGGCTCTCTTGGATCGATGGCTCTTGTGCTGGGACTGAGACTCCAGACGGTATGTAGGCAGAAGCATGAGGAGGAGGTGCGGAGCCCGAGCGCTGTGTCGCCGCCTCTTATCACCACCATGAATGAAGCTGTCATCAATGCCTGGAAACATAGAAAAATCAATCAATACATAGAAAACCAAACTCTGCTGTCCTACGTGTTGATCTGTCTGGGATTTGAACCTTTGACCAGTGCACAGGAACGAGTCTGCCACATTTAAAACAAAATAACATAAATAAGGTTCATGGAGATAAAGTGGTACAAACGTTATCATTAATATTACAAATGAAAAACACTAATTAGTCATTAATAGACAGTTAATGCTGAGCCAGAAGGAGGCCTTCCATGAACCTAGCAAAGAGCAGTTTTCATTTCTAGTCGAGGTCATTAAATCGTCATAGAGTTATTGCTGCCCTGCCGCTGACTACTACGTCTAATCACAAACACACATGCTCACATGGAAAACGATGTGTAACCCTGGCTAAATTTAGAATAAATAAAAGTTAGAACAGGTGTCTTGGACAGTGTGTAACTGTAATTGTTGGCCCCTGATGCTAATTCAATTTTCAGCCTGATTTTCTGGTCCCACAGTTGTGCGAGTCAAGGCCAACTCGTCCTTGACCGGTGCGAGATTGGCAGGAGTTCTCTGCGAACGATTCTCTAAAGAGTTGTCGACGCAATCGTGGACTCAGACCAGATCAGATTTTCAGAAGTCTGGAAATTTGATCTTGGGTCTACAACTACAATTGTAGTCATCATTTGAACCCAAACAGGAACATAAAAGTAGCCTAGCAGGAAGGGCACAGTGATAAAGAGGGGAAAGGGTGAAATTAAATGAAAAAATACATGATTATAAACTTAGATCTAAGATCTACAAAACCTAGACCATATATTAAGTATGTATGCAGGGATTGAAGAAAGACACACCTTGATCTTCATCCCAGTGGTACTTTTTATAGTATATATAAGAAAAAATATTTGCAGTTTAAGCCTCATTTCACGTGCATATAATTCAGGGTAATAATAACTGGCTAATTGTATTGTAATATAATGGACGTAAAGATGTAAATCTCTCCATTAAACACAATTTAAACAGTTTAAGTCCAGTCAACAACCTTTAGTGACAGGTGGATCAGACTGACCTGCGAAACGTGCCTCCAGCTCCTCGCTCTTGTTGGGAATAATATAATTATTTGATGGTACGAACGTGCAGCAGGGACAATGCAGGCTGATTTTAAATCCACTGTTTCTGTCTGTGGAAAAAAACAAAACAAAGTCATAACAGATCAGTCCCAGAATGTAACTTACGACTGGTTGTCAGTGTTGGCAGGAAACACTCACCTCTGTGGTTCAGCCACTCACTCACTGCCTCTGTGACGTCAAAGGACAGCCACTCTCCCTCTGTCTGCGTTCGCACCACTTTGCTGTCGATGTATCGCTGCGTTGGCGATGTCAAGTCTTTGTGTCCTAATATCTATGGACAGAGCAAACGCAGCAGGGAAAATGAACTTATTTAGACACAGTGAAGCTGGAAAACATGGCACCATGCCTGGTGTGATCAGACGGACTGAAAACAAACTGGTAACTACCTGTTTAAACATTAAACATTAAAGACGACAAAATGAATCATCATCAAATTGGTTTTTTTTTTTTAGATACCACTATGTGTTTGTGTGTATGTGTGGGATGAATGTGAATGTGGTGAATGTTGTCCTGCCCTTTGTCCTGGACTGTCCTCTCCTCCCTCATACATCTGTGTTTGTGTGAGAGCGGTCGTGTTCAGAGCTGCTGTCGTCTCTCTGTCCTGATGTAACACAGCGTGGGAACTCACTGGTGCAGGATGATGGACAGAAAAACGGCCTAGAGTGACATCATGCTGCAGGACCTAATCACTAACACTGTACTTCAGTGTTTAAAGAAAACTGTGGCCACTGACCTCCTGTAATGAGCTGCAGCCTCATTATAACAACAGGACAGATATATTAGATATGTTCTACTGGAAAAATATTTAATCTGCAGAAATTCAAAAGATTTGGGAGCAAATGACATGTTCTCTTTAACAAGCCCAAAGCCGTTTTTTTTCACGTCCCACAGATTTGGCCTACTTTTCATGTGGAATGAAAGTCCTAAAAAGACCATTTAAAGTCGGCATCCTGATACCAGACTGCCAGGATCACTGCAGGCTTGGTCCAAATATGTCATTGAAGGTGTGGACTGCTTTAAGCTCTACAGCTGGGGTGTCACACTCATTTTGGTTCAGGAGCCACATGCAGCCTGATTAGAAGTGGGCCGGACCAGTACATAATAACATTAGTATTAAATGACATATAATTGGACAAAACATCAAGAACACAAAGTGTTTTCACTGCATTTCTTCACTTCATCAAGAGGGCTGGATTGAACCTCCTAGCCGGCCGGTTTTGGCCTGTGGGCTGTATGTTTGACACCCCTGCTCTAAAGTAACTTAAGTATTTCAGACTAAGTCTTGTTCTAATGTTACTGCAAACATTACTGCATGTACACAATTCCAGCTCCAGGTGTCAAACCAGAGTAAAGTCTACCTGGTAGAGCTCAATGCGCTGCTCAGAAACTCGAGCAGCAGGGTTCTGAAGACGAAAGATTCTGAGCTCAGCCTTCACCAGGTTGGACGCGTTCTTCTCCATGGAGGAGACATCGAATGTCAGCCGCCTGAAGTAGGGGTTGAGGTGTGTAGGAGAGATGACATCTGTGAACAGAAGAGAGGAAGAATGTTGGGATAAATACACACATTTGTCAGGTAGTCAGTGTTGAATACTGACCAACAGAATCTGCCTCAGTAAACAGAAGATAAAAATGCTATTTAACTACACCGTAGTAAGCATTTTAATGGTTTATAAAGTGCCAAAGCTATAGAGTAGTCTACAGTGGTTCATATTAAAACTTACAGTCTCAAAGCAGGAGCCCCCTCCAAACTCAAGGAAACCTCTAAGTTTAGCCAAAAAAAGAGACATTTTCCTTATAACAACAAAATGTTTTAGATTAAAAAAAAAAAGAAAATTCATAAAGGATTGAAAACAAAAAGAAAAGAAACCTTCATTACTGAACTTCTTCAGTGTTTTCCCGAACTGACAAAGTATTTTACACCGCTGCTTGGTAGGTTAGACTTTTGTTTGTCTTAACACAATGACATCACAATGACATCATCAGGCGGCATTTCTGTCGAAGTATTTAGGTCTAAAGAGACATTTCACAGCCATTTTCAGTGGGTTTTGTGCAGCAAGTTAACCAGGATTAGCAATAATCGGACATTTGTTTAGACAGATTGTACAATCGCAGCAGCAGGAGTGACAGGAATGAGACAAACAACTGCGTTGGCTTTAACAGGCATTTGACTGTCCAGCTTGAGTTCTTAGACCTGAATAGTAGTTCAGCAGTAGTCTAATTTATATGACACGATGTCATTACTGTTTTAGAACAAGTGTCTGGAAAATCTTTTCTAGCAGACACGATGCTACAGTAGCAAAAATCTAAATCTCAGCCTATATATATATATATGTACTGTATATATATATTTTTTCTTTCTTGCCTTTGGCTGCTGTGGGTAAATAAGGAGACACCACAGCCCCAAAAGCTATTTCACAGGTAGCTGTGAGGATCCTGAGACTTGGCTGCGAACTCCGCTCCTTCAGCCAGCAGCTGAATCACACAGTAAATTCCTCAGAAGACCAGAACCTGCTGCTGCGCAGCGTTTCCGCTGTCTGCTCGCTTACACAGATACTCAAAATCCACGTAGGATGTTCCTTTTTTCATCGAGCAAATGTAAGATTTCCCACTGACGTGATCAGGGTTGACTATAACAAGCTATACAGAGGCTATGGCCCATATTCTAGAGAATACAACATGCTGCAGTTCACCAGTTTGGCCTCAACATATTGGGGATTATTTCATATTTTTACATATTGATGTTAGCAAAGTTGTAACATCAACAGATTTGACCCAGGGCACAGGCCAAATGAAGGCAGCAAAGTAAACAATTTACACCTGCAGCTCTGCTCCAATAACACCAACCAGATGCCACATCACACAGGTTATATATAATCTGTAAGAATAAACCAAAGGATACCTGTGACAGTGGTGTGCCAAGACACAGTTCAGGACACAATAGAATATTTTATTTTGAAATTAAGAAAATGCTAACTTTCAATGGCTAGCTGAAGCTTTGTTTCCACTGAAGTCCCCAGAATTGCCCTCCCTCCCAAAAAGTAAAATCAGACAGAACAGTTACTACTGGGGGAGTATAGCAACATGTGTAACTAATGTGATTATTTTATTTTAAAAAGTATAGAACAAACTTATCGTAAATTAAAATCAAACAACACAGTTCAAAGTGCATCATAACTTCACATCACAGACTTGTTCGACTTTGTTTAATTCTTTTTTTTCATTTGTTCAACAAGTTCACACCAACAACCTCACAGCTGATGCTGCGGCACCTGATGAGTCGCCAGTTAACAGCTCACAGTTTGAGCAGCTGAAGCAGATGAGCCAAGACTAACGATGCTCTTTCTCATTTCCTTCCCATTCGTCAGCAGAGAAAGTCACACTTCCAGCTCCTGGAGGACTGGGAGTGTTTACACAAACTGCAGTCCGGCTCATGAATGAGCCCTCTGTGCCTCAACAAAACACTGGATGCATTCAGCACAGGTTCCGGGGAGGGTCAACTGCTGTGCTGACACATGCTGTGAACGGCAGACACACACATCAACTGTAGCCATGATGGACACTCACAAAGACGGCACAGTCCTTGGACTGGACCCTGGTCTGTTTTCATAATGGGGATAATTCAGATTAAATGTCACGGATTACAAAGACAGGCAGTGAGAGCATAAGGAGGGACAGACATTTGTTTTGGGTGTTGTTAGCTCTACAGACTTGAATAAACATAATTAAATTGATCTGAAAATGAATGATTTAATATGAGATAGTCTGAATCATAACATTTGAAGCTCTAACTCCACCTCTGGATTCTTGGAAGGCTAATAGTTAGGATCAGGACAGCTTTGCAGCTTTAGTAGTTTTCTAGCAACCAGGCTAACAGTGAAAGAACAGTTGTTTAAAGCTACTATAATAAAGCAGTGGTCGTTTCCAGGAACTGTGCCTGTAGTCTGAACATACAGTACATGCTAACCCGCCTCAGAGAACACACTGAGATAGAGTTTCCTTGAAATGCATTCAAGTGCAAGTTTTTAATAACATGATAATAAGCATTATTATATAAAGAGGAGGACCTGAGCCTCAGTGTAATGTGGTAAAGACTGTGTTTTGCTAACCATGCTGTCACCAGATAAGAACTGACAGACGAGGGAAGATGCATCACAGTCCAAAATAACACATCTACTACTAAAACCAAAAGACACCAAAATCAATTCATGCTTGCAAATGTGAGGCAAAGATCCCATCGTGCACTGCCACATTGAAAGTATAACGTGGACACACTATATATTTAAGTTATATTAAGTTGTAGAGAAGCTTCCACAGACTGAAAGGCAGAGATTGATTTGTAACCAAGATGTTATCAACTATTGATTTAGTGTTGAAAATATCAACCAATATAATATTTTCCCTGATTAGAATTGTATTATTAGTATTGTTCTCTTATTTCA